AGGAGTTTTTTAATAATTCAGAGATGATCATTACAAGGGCCAAATGGCCGAAATATATAAGGAGGGGAGAGGAGGGAAAACACACAATATAATGAATGCAAATACAAGGAACCTTCCTACATCCCTTTATCATTCACTAGCTTCCAATCTTGAGTTGATAAGGGCTGATTTTGTTTGACTTTGTCTTGGCTTTGGAGCTAGCTTTGTCTGTCCTGTTGTGGAGGCAAAAATCACAAAGAATGAATGAAATCCTTTGATGATTGTGGTGGATATTCTGGCTAAAAAGAGGGGACAAACAAAGATGGGTGATGGATGGTGTATTGGCCTTATATGCTTGGTCATATGAGGTGACTGATTTAGTAGGTGGTGTATCAATAACAACTCAAATGTCCCTTGGCTTTTTGTGGTTGTTTATTCAGCCCTAGTAGGGAACATAAAGGGGACAAGAATGGGGAATATCTTGGTTGATGTTGTGTTAGGATAATGAGGGATATTTGGCCTGGGATTTATAGAAAAGGATAGAAGGTTTTATTTGTTTATTAAAAGGTTTAAAAGAAAGAAAATAACAACAAACAAAGGTTGTGGTTTACACACTCTTATTTTCGGCCAGGGCCTAAAATAGGAGTAGGAAAACTTTATTTTGAAAAGGAAATATTTTGGATGTTTAGGGAAGGCATGGAGAGTGTGGGCTCAGCCTAGGGTAGTAGGGTGGGTGTAGGACAACCATGGTGTTGGGTTGGGTTCTAAGACAGGAAAATGGAGAAGTTTCAACCCAATTAATGTCACCACACTTGGGCTTTATTCCCCTGATCTGTCTTTCCCTTGGCGGGCTACGGAGAATCTTTGGGCATGCTCCCGGATATATATCATCCCACCAGGAAGAGGAGGCAGAAAGCCAGCCCAGGTTACCGGTGGCGAACCGGTTAACCAACCCAAACGACCGCGTCTAGCATATGGAGGCAAAACTAGAGAGGCTGGAAAAAAAGGTCGGAGAGAAGAATGATCGAGACAAACCTCTGGCAGGGTCCCCGTTCACCACAAGGGTCCATCTGACACCTTTCCCGCGAAAGGTCAAGATCGACGCCCCCAGATTCACCGGGAAGGAAGATCCGGAAATCCATCTAGACTCCTTCAACCAGAGTGCGACCATGAACGGTTGCACCGATGAAGAAAAGTGCCTTCTTTTCTTCCAGACCTTGCTGAACCGAGCCACTGAATGGTTCAATAAGCTTCGCCCGGGAGGCATTGACTCATTGAGTGATTTGGCCTCAAAATTCAAGGCCAAGTTCCAGGAGAATTGTACTAAGAGGAAGAAATTCACCTATCTTAGTACAGCCGGGCAAAGGGAGTCTGAGAACCTTACTCAGTTCCTTACCTGGTGGAAGGAAGAGGTAGACAAGGTGGAAGAGATGGATGACAAGACCGTCCTCTCCCTCCTCTTAAATGGCTTGCGTGCTGGGGAACTATACAAGGAGTTCTGCCGGAAACCCCCAGCTACGTACCAAGAGGCCTACCATACTGCATGGGAGTTTGCTGAAGCTGAAACCCAGCTCCGGGCAAAGAGAGAAGCTGAGCATGGTCACAAGCCCAAGCCGGTGCAAGTCAAGAAGGAAGAAGCACCGGGACCTAGCCGGCCGAGGCACCACTATGACCCGGTCATCCGAGTGGTCAATACGGAAGAATGCCAAGAAGTCCGGAAAGCACCGGTCATTCCTCCAGAAAACCCTACCGGTCAAGTAGGGCG